TGGGTTATTTTTGTTAATGTGGTAAACCAAACAACCCCTTAGTGTCTGATTAATGCATAGCACTGTAATCTAATTTTTCTCGTTTTCATAGAAAAATAAAATGATACTGCACAGATTGCATATTGCATGAGAAACTCACATCTTGATCCATCTGCAAGTTGGAGCCCTCAAGTGTTCGGTCTGAAGCAACTAATACTGTATGCTTCCTTTTATTAAAATAATCCCAGATGCGTGCCTGCATAATCCAGAAAATGACAGATAAAAAGCGTAAATTTTTTTCTCAGCTTAATGACATGAAAATAGAATTTGATAGCGTCCTACTCTATAAAGAAACAAACCTTTTCTGGTGCTATTCCTTTGAGCCTACACACTATGCTATAAAGTTCATGTAAAGATGCCTGAAACATATAACACCATTTAAGAGTTACTCAAGAGCTGGAAAAAAAAAACAAATCCATTAAACAGAGGAAATCACCAAAAACGCAAAGAAAAGATGCAGATAGCACGTCACATTGATGAATATCCGGACAAAGCTGAAATGAACGTGCCACAATATAACCCTATGAGCAGCTTCATAGAGCTAGCAGTTTCACCCAGTCACTAAGTTAAAGAGGGTGCAAAAGTACAAAAAAAGACCATGAAAGTTTATATGTGCTCCAATAGCATATTAGACATCATTCTCCATGCACCACCCCTAATTTTCTATCACATTTTGATCAATTTGGAATTTAAATTGATAATGATAATGATGAGGACATCAATGACAATAACGACAATGATGACCACATCTAAGTTCCACAATTATACGATGATGATCAGCGGATCCAAATCCCACAATTATTTATTTAAACTAAAGCCAACTGACAAACGATTTAAATTTCTCCAGCACAAAAAAAAGTGCATTTAGCAATATTCTTAAACAGCCACGACACTGCCAGCTGAAAGGATAAGCGGATGTAGACTGATTGTTAATTAGAGATCAAAAGCAAAAGATAACAAGAGGGCACCCTGACATAACGTGATTTTTTTATTTGAAGTGGCAAAATGAATTTCCTTTAAATAGAGAGGGCAAGGCCGTACTATACCTTTTTACTTAACCTTATAACCTTGTGACTTCTATCTCTAGTATCATGTAAATTGAGACACAATGGGAACACTTCCACGCTAAGTTGCTTGGCATCTCCCACAGAAATCATCTTTCGAGGCAATGCTGGTCCTCCCTTGTACCTAAAGGCAGTAGAGTATTTATCCCCAAAAAAAAGATTAGGAAAGGAAAGCATGTGAGAACCCAGATACTTCACTCATGATATTAGCAGATCACTAGCATGTATCAAAAACCAGGGCAAAGAATGGCATGGGAATCCTAGTGGAAAGTCAATACTCGTAAAATCGGCTCTGAAGAAGTATTTTGAAACCCTAACTAGCACAGTCACTTAATTGCAAGAAGAAGAGCTACTCTGCTCTGATTGAGTTCCCCCTTCCAATGAAAAAGAAAAATTATTAAGGAACAAAAAAATAATCTAACCTTGACAGTCAACCATAACCATCCATACACAACTGTTAATTCCAACCATATGGAAAATTCCATAGCTGTCATTTCAACAGAAAATGCCTCTAGTACCAAATTGGAGTACTTTCCAGAACATCATAAGAGGTGTTGCCAAGATAAGTTCCATTGCACCATCTGCTAATGGGAAGTGTAAAGAGAAATAAGCAAGAAAAACTTACCATTCAGAGAGCTTCTCCCATACTTCTTGTGCGACCAACACATAATCACGCCCTTCTTCCAAAGTTATGATAAGCTGGGGATCATCATCATTCTCGCCATCAATTTCCCTAATTATTATATCACTATTATCGATTGGTCCAGGTCTACTAGCTGTGTTTGGCAACAGAGAAGGCTGAGATTGAGTAGCGTCCTCGTTAAAGGGATAAGCACTCAGTGGCTGGCCAATGTACCTCTGCCAATCCCTGAACCACCTAAACATACATACAAAACCAAATGAGCATGCCTCTTTATGTTTTTCCCTTTATTTGACTTGTTTTAATTTTCATCATTCAGCTATTGGAAAAGAATTCTGGCTTCCACAAACTATCAGAATACCACCAGTGAAAGCAGAAAAAAGAAGTAAGAAATAATCAAACAGTTGGGAAGTTAGCAGTGCTGTGATCAGATCAATTTCTTATCTAGAACTGGTTTACGTGTCGATAGGCAACCATATTCTGAAGCAACAATCTTAAAGTTTAAGATGAAATAGCAAGATGGAAAATTCAATTGAAGGGAAGATCTGAAGAGAAGACCATACAACTAGGTGAGAAGAAAGCAAATAGTAGCTTTTTTTGCCTCTGTTGCAATTCGAAACCTGGTCTCTACCAAATATTAAGCAAAATTTTCAACAGATCCAAACAATCATTGTGAATATAGCGCTTTAGCTCTCATAGTTTCTATGTGATTCAGCACATTCAGGTCATTGATGATTTTAACTTGACCAATGTTGCGTGCTTACTGCATGAACTTGATAACTCTTTGCATGGTGTAGATTCTGCCAAGAGGAGAAAAAAAAGAGGTGCACGGAAAACAAATAGCTTCTTTTTCTTTCATATAGGTGAGGAAAAAACCGAGCTGTACTATGCTGCCTGGAATTATTATATTTTTGTGATGACATTGCAGTCCGGGCCAGCTTGCGCGCACCTAACTATTCCACTGCGTACCTGCTATCTCCCATCAGCACAGGTGCCGGGTAACTCAATCCACCGAGGCTAAGCAAATAAGATGAAATCATCTATTATTTTTTGTACTCCATTGGAATTTGAACCTGAGACCTCATGATTCTCCTCCCACTTCATTGGCCACTAGTAGGCCACACCTTAAAGTGCAGTACGCTGCCCAAACAATTGAGCCATTTTTACCGTTTCAACGCTCAAGGAATAAAATATATTTTAATATCGCCAATGACATTTTACAATACCAATCACTTTCGGAACAGTTCATTTTTTTTTTTGAGGGGCTGATAATTATGATGTCCCAGCAAGCTAGAGCACACCTCAACTAATTCCAAGGGGTACGTGCTACCTCCCACCTCCATCCACCAAGGTTTAGACATATGGTAAAGAAAAAACTTAGTATTTTTGCCAAATTTCAACATGAGACCTCATAGTTCTCCACCAACTTCATTAACTCTCACAATTATGATTGTTATACCCTGTTGTGATAATTATAATTACTGAGAATTACTCCCTCAGTCCCAATATACTTGTCATGTTTCATTTCTCAAAAGTCAATTTGACTAATCTTTGAAGCTAAATTAGATTAGATTAGTTTAAAAAATTTAAATTAAATTTTAGATATTCGAAAACTATATGAAAAATAATATAATTTGCAATTCTTGTCATATCAATAAGGTGAAAAAAATACATGTCAAAATATTGATCAAGCTCATGTCGTTTGATGCTCGAGAGGCGAAACATGACAGGTATTTTGGGACGGATGGAGTAGCACATTCACCACCTTATAATTAAAACAAAGAAGAATCCTTTCAACATGCAGTCTGCAGAAGCACAAGTTAGCTGATAGATGAGAGTGGATAAGATAAGCAGCATAACAGCGGATTCAGATAAGCAAATAATCATAATTTTTTTCATGTTCAGAAAGAAAAAAAACACACAAACTGAAAACACTGTGCAATGCCTTGTTAAAGCATCAATGGCAAACAAACGTAGATAAAAAAAAAAGGCAAAGTAGGGATGAGGAACCTGTTAGAAATAACATAATAGGTATTGCCTTCTCGCAAATTGGATTCAGCTTTGCTGATAAGCTCCTGAATGATCCTAGCCTCTTCTTCAGGCGTGCAAGGCAATTCAATAGATCCATTCTCCATCATGTATCCCGAATCTGGAATCGTCATGATCCACTACTCAATTCTACAAAAATGCCAAAAACAAATATAAAAGTTTCAACTATAAATAAAAAAACTGAATAAATTGGATTTTCCAAAATAAGAGTATAAAGAAAAGAATATACGAACCCTAAGGATCGGAAACCGAAAAAGGGGAAGTAAATGGAAAGGAAAGAACCCTAGATTACAGGAGAATACCCAAATTTCCCCAGATTTGGATTTTTAAGGTGCTGCCCAAATACACAAACCGTCTCTCTTCCTTGCTGTCTTTTGAGTTTTCCTCCACCTACCTTTTATATATTATGATGATATGCCTAATCACACCCTGTACTTTCTCGAATTCACTCATCTTTCCCCCTTTTTTTCAATATTGTATTTCATTTTAAATTTTTTTGGTAAGTTGAATATACTATATGGTAGTATTGTATTTACCAGTCTTTCTACTTCTTTTTTTCTCTTAGATTATCGAAATGCTTCACATATTACCTGAATATTCAACCAACAAAGACAATCCCGTCTCTCCTTTTATCTTGTTTGACTAATTTAAAGGAAACAGCGTCGCCTGGCAAGACTCAATCCTATACCGAATTATACTTTAGTTTACTATTTTTGCGATTTCTCTTAGTATTATTATTTGATGACTTGTAAATTTTTCTTTCAAGATTAAATTAATATACTAAAACATTGCCAGCAACTTCATTAAGTCAATAGCTCAAAAAAACTTGAAGCTACTCATCTCAAAAAGTTGATATGATTAGTGTAAAATTAACCTTCTGTGTGAATAAGAATGTACTAGATTTTTTATTATAGTTGAAAAAAGACTTAGGTATTAGAAGTTGTTTAAAGAAATGTATTCTAAGTTTAAATTTGCATAATTGTTAACAAGACCGTGATGGAAGAGAGATATTTTCCCCCTCAAACAATAACTCACAAAGCATGTTTTACTTACAAAAACGAAGAATTAAAGAGGTCTAAATTGTTGTCTGAACTTTTTCATTGAAAATTTGACAGTTGTTGATCTGGGTGCACA